TGGTGACGACTGTCGGGATTGATTCTTAAACTCCACCTTGAGTCTAAGAAAGTCAGGTGGAGGAGAAATACAGCGACAAAGTAGTCCCTACTTTTTCTTTGTGTATCTCTTGACTGGGCTTGAGTTTCAGTGACAGTGCCACTTTAAGAAAGTTCCTGCATTAGTAATGGAGGCAATGAGTGGCACCTGACGCTAGATAAGAAGTAAAGGTACTCCTGGCACCAAAGCCACTATAGCTTGTTGTAATGGTTCCGATGCTTGGAGTTTACTTTAAAAGTTTCCAGTACTCTCCTATACTCGAAAATGTAAATGTTCCAGGACTCTCCTATAAACAGTTCCAGTATTCTAGTAAAGCGATTCAAGAACTATCTGTATATATAAAAAATTATTTAATTATTCCCATGTTCATCAATAAAGGAAATTAAAACATTTCCCTTCTTTCCTATACTAGGGAATAAAAATGACATTAAAATATCCCAGTATTCTACCATAGTAGAATATTAAAACGTTTCAACACTCTACTATACAATGGCATTAAAATGTTCTGCCTTTCAGGTAAAAAAAAAAAGAGATTAGCCTTCTATACTAGGGAATTAAACAATAACAGGTTTTTCCACACCAACAATTAGAACAAGGTTCCAGTTCTATCCTATTGTAGGGCATTTAAAGATCCAATACTGTTATATAATAACAAACATGGAAAGTATTGAAAGATTTTAACGTGATCCCAATAAAAAGCAACAGTTAAAGTGTTTCATTAACTTCCCATACTATGGAAAGTTTCAATACTCTCCTATACCAAGAATTATAATACTACGCTATACTAAGACTAGTAACGGTTCAGCCACTCTTGTCCAAGTGATGGTTAAAAATCACACTTTTATAACAAATATGCTTTTGCCCTGTATCCGCCTTCCTGCCACAAAAGAAACATGTACAAAGGTATATTAAACATCTCCGAATCTTTCAGTACCCACTGCCACCTTACATCAGAATGTCTGTTTTCTCTGAAATATTCCGTCATGATTCCTTTTTATTTTAGAAGTTGTGTCCTAGTATTGATATACTTGGACAACTCCTAATATTTTATAACAGACACCAAACATTTAACAATGGTTAAAACCAAGAACAGTGATGGCTTGTTAGTTTATTCCAGTAACGCGAATGTTTATAAATTGCATTTCACATGATACGGGGAAATGTAGTCTATGTACATCTGCAGCACCAAGGCAGGCCATTACTGACCTAGATATTATTTTACTGGCAAACCAAAAAAAGTTTAAACTTACATCCAGGAAAGATCATGTGAATGGTACTTTTTTTTTTCATATGCTAGCCTATGATGGTAACCACGTAATAATCATATAATATCTCTTACCAAATAAATGAATAATAAAATGTCCCCCTTCCAAAAGTAAATAATATTTAAATGATCTGATATTCCTAGCAAGGGTGGTATATATTTAACAAAATAAATGTCTTAGACATGTATGTAATATTTTATCTTTTTATATAGTGCGTATACAATCATTAAAGAGATATTAGTATATACTCTTTCAAAAATGTCAAATAAGGCCTAAACGTGCTATTTTTATACAGTGTTTGTGATATTCTTTTGAGAGTTGAACCTATTTTGTACCTATGGATAGTGTGTGTGTGTGTGTATAGGTATATACAGTATGTACACTTATATGATTAACCAAAATGTATAGTTTATTGGGAAAAGTCTGACTTTCTGTCTTGAGCTGCTCCCACTGATACAGAGTATCTGATACAGTTCTTCTGCATCTATTCCCAGAACCCCAAGATGGCATGAGGATGGCACAGTATGGATCAGCATCTGGGCTGTGATGAAGATGGAGTGTGGTTGTGAGGGTCTCACCAGAATGAACAGTTCCTCTCTTGTCTTTCCCACCAGTCTCTGATGTGCTATGGTCCTCTTGGCAGGGGAAGCCCATTCCTGCTTGTGGAACCTCATTATCAGTACTCGTCAGCCAAGTGGACTCAGTCTCTCGTGTCCAGCTCTCGTAGTAACGAGGCTCAATGGCATCTGCCCTGCTCCCTCCACAACCCATGTTCCTCTTGCTGTCCCAGCAGGCGATTAATATCAGTGGATAAAATCTCTGATCAATTGTTTCAATCAATGAATGGATCTGCAAACCTGTGCACTTCAGCTTGCAACTGGACTGGGTGTCAAGTGTTACAGGAAGAACAACATGTAACAAGCCCTTAAACAAAAGAGTACCTGCAAGCAGCGTACTGGGGCGCAGATTACACCCTGTCTGCTCCTAAAGGGAGACAGTGACACCCCAAAATAATAAGGCACATAGTCAGAGTAGTGCTTGCAGAAAACAAAAGGTTTCACAAAATAAAACACCAGCTTTATAGGTGAATGGGGTTAAGCTTATGCCTGCGAATATTTTTTAAAACATTCCAGTAAACGTATCAATGTAGAAGCTCCGTGCCCATTATTTTCTGCCTCTTTCCCATGGCTTGTTTCTTTTTCCTCTTGTTCTTGTCCTAACTTCCCATCTCGTTTTAGTACACAGGTCTCATGTTGTCCATCCTCACGCTTCCCCTATGCTCTCAGTGAGCAGGTTCTGCTGGCCCCCCACTCGCTGCTTAGTATGAGTGGGCTAGCTGCTGCACTGACGTCTGTAGCCTGACTCTGGAGCTGTGAAATGCTCCCTGGCTCTGCCTTGCAGCCCTGATTGCAGTCTCTGGATTGGTGATGATGCAGCTCTTTGTGTTAAGAGTCACAGGCTGTTCACAGCCAGGAACACATGATGAGGAAGGTGGAGATTAAAAGACTGTAGCTTCCCTGTGAAATCATGTGCAGCAGTGATCCTGGAGGGGGTGTGTGTGTGTGTGAATGTGTGTAGGGGGGATGGGGGGCTTTCGTTGCAGTCCCCATAATGTCACTGGCTGTTCATTACCTCTGATGCACATGCTGAGCCATAATATTGCCGTGCCAGCACTAGGGAGAATCTTGCGTTTCAGTCAGTACACACTGATACTGATACATGATTCATTATTTTGGCAAGATTCTAAGACGTGCACACTGATACTGATACATGATTCATTATTTTGGCAAGATTCTAAGACGTGCATTGTGCATGAATAAAATAATTTTATTCTATTATTATTTATAAAGCGCCAACAAATTCCGCAGTGCCGTACAATGGGTAGATTATGAATTACATGCAAATATTGAACTTTTTTTGCACACTGTATGTATTTAGCATTTTATTTAAATCTCCAGCTGCATTTTAGCAGCATGGTATAGCGTAATTCATTAGTGTAATTAAGCTGTACGTAATAATTATTCTAAAGATAGAAAATTGGCTTACAGTATGCATTTAAGTCATCACCATTAAGACTTTACATTTAAAATGCTGATTCACTGCAAAGGCTATGGTGCAGAGAATACCCTGCTTCACGTCTTCTTTCTACAGTTTACAAAAACAAATCACTGCGGGTATAAGTCTGTCCCTGGATCATTGATACCAAAAGAGGAAAATTTGTCATTCCTTTGCAATCTAAGATTTGTCCAATTTGTTCTTCTTTTCTAGAAAAAGATTGATCTGCGGCCCAGACAGGTTCACAAAAGTACTGTGAACAAATCTGTGAGTAGAGTGACAAAGGTGGCATAGCTGCTATTAACTTATTCAGCGATTACTCTAATCCATCATGTTAAGTGGAGCTGTGTCTGGGGAACAGAATACATATCTTTATGGGACGAGAAAATTAACATAGACCGGGATCAGAGGTTTATGATTGAGGGAGCTACTTCCTGGTCTGTAGGAAACAACTCGCTGCAGAAACTTTTAAAGGGGCAATCTAACCACCATAACCACTTCAGATCAGATTTTATTTTGATCATGTACAATCGACTGCAAGAACAGATAAACTGACAGCTGTGTCAGACGTGTGAGGACAGAGCCAAAGCAATCAGGTTACATCAGCTCATTTTAATAAAACAATGATTTTTACAAGGAAGGATACAGATTTTATCTTGCGAACAGGTGACTACTGGTGCAATAATATTAAAATTATACTCAATGGTAGACATTTTATTGACATGGAAAAATGAAAGGCTAATCAAATCAAATCGAAATTTTAGTTTAATTTGAAAAGTTTTGATTTGAAAATTGCTGTGGAAGATCTAAAATGAAGAAAAATAAATGCCAATAATGTCACTTCAACAACAGAAAAACAATCAATGTAATTTAGTGATTTGAACTTGATAAGTGGCAGTAGCTACTAGACTTGTTCATGGCAAAAGAATTTTGGTTCTTCAGAACTGATAATATTCGATTTTAAATTCTGTGATTATAAATTACACAAAATCTGTTGAGATTCTGCCGAATTTTGATTCTGACCTATCCAAATGTACAAGTCTATAATATAGATGTATTTATTTTATATTGTAACTCTCGCATTCCTGAACAGATTAGCAGGTATCCCACCAATTTCACTGTCACCACTGATAAGTAATTATGTCTCAGACATGTTTTTATCTAACAGAGCTGCAGCAATATCATGATTTAAGTGTATTTATCAGATAATCCTGCTCTCAGGAGAACAAGAGATCTTCCAAAAAGCCCAGACATTGTCACATTGACAGTTATATTTACTTTATTGTGGCAGGCTTATGCAATGTATGATCATATAATGTAACTAAACCCCCATCATTTTTTGCCTAGATTAGGTGTTTTTAATAAAACTGTCAAAATTGTTCAGAACCAAAATAGCTTAGTAGATAAGGGAGTGCGCTGGATTTTCATTTTTACTTTTATTATATTTACTTTAAAGCAGGGATGCCCAAAAGGTAGGTCCCTGGATTTTTTTTCAATTTGGACTACAGCTTCCATGATGCTTTGCCATTGTAAAGACGTGCAAAGCATCATGGGGGTTGTAGTTCTACAACATCTGGGGGATCTACATTTTGGGCACCCCTGTTCTATTGCATTCCGTTGCTTTTATGTTGCCTCCATTACATACAGAGGATTAAGCATACATTGTGACTGTAGCTGGAAAAAAAATTAAGAATCTGCCATTTTGGCCTCAATATTGCATTTAGTTTTATAATTCACTATAATTTGCCATTTAGTGATTAAACCCCACAAACCCAAATGTGATTAACTCGCTCTATGATTGCACTAACACAGTTTCAGTATTATTCACGCAAGCAGTAATTGTGGAGACTTGACAATGGGATTACATTTTTAAGATATAACAGAGTTAGAAAAATAGCTGAATTGGGGATTTTTTCCTCTATGTGCAATTGCATTGTCAGTGCTCCACAATTTCCGATTTAGTAAATAAACAGAAGTGTCTTATATTCCTAATTATTTTGCAAGTTCATCTTTGCTTCCTTCTTTGGACAATTTTCAAAATTACACTAAACAATTGTTTTTGTTAGAAAAAAATATCAATTGTCTGAAATCTTGTGTTTTTTTGTGTGGGGTTTTATAAATAGCTTATATTGTGTAATTAAGTGTTCTCTATTTGTTAAAGTGATCGAACATCTTTTATTTTTTGCCAAAGTCTCCTAGAGAAGACTTTGATTGGACCAATCTCTGAGCCAGCAAAAGGAGGGGCAAGGGGAGGAGGGAAAAAATATATAAGCAGAGGTGATAGGCAGGGCTGCTTTAAATGAGAGGGAAGCCCATGACAGCCCGAGTTCACCACCAAAGCGACTTCATCTGGGATGTGAGTGCCAGAACTGGACCATGGAACAATGGTAAAAGGTTGCCTGGTCTGATGAATCACATTTTCATTCTAATAATGTGGATGGCTGGGTGTATGTACATCGTTTACTTGGGGAAGAGATAGCAGCAGGATGCACTATGGGAAGATGGCAGGCCAGTGGAAGCAGTGTTATGCTCTGGGCATTGATCTGCTGCGAAAACCTAAGATCCTGGCATTCTTTTGGCACATACCACCTACCTAGAGATTGTTGCAGACCACATACACCCCTTCATGGCATTTCTGTTCCCTGATAGCAGTGGCCTCTTTCTGCATGATAATGTACCCTGCCACAATGCAAAAATTGTTCATGAATGGTTTGAGGAACATGACAAAGAATGCTAAGTGTTGCTTTGGCCTCCAATTCCCCGGAACTCAATCCTATTGAGCATCTGTGGAATGTGCAGGAACAACAAATCTGATCCATGGAGGTCCCACCTTTCAACTTGCAGATTTTAAGGGATCTGCTGCTAATGTCTTGCTGCCAGATACCACAGGACACATTTAGAGGCCTTGTGAGGTCCATGCCTTGACACATCAGAGCTGTTTTGGCAGCACCAGTGGACCTTGTGATGATGTTAAGCAAGCGGTTTTAACATTGTGGCTGATCAGTGAATAAGGAGTATTTAGCATTTGAGGGTTTAACCCATTAAAGACACATGACGGAAATATTCCGTCATGATTCCTTTTTATTCCAGAAGTTGTGTCCTATAGGGGTTAAGGGATTCAGAGTTTCAGGCTGAGGCTGTCAACAATAATTCCCATGATTATCAGACTGATAAGGCAGTGTAACCTGTGCTGCAATGATATCTTACACTAGATAAAGTTTAAACTCTCCTACAGATATTCTTGGTCTGCTCCAACAGGATTTCTCACGGGAAACCATTGGCAATACATGGGGCTTTCCTCAAGGGCTGTTGTTGGTGTAACAGCACGGGTAGGTAAATTGGTGCAGTGCATGTTGTTACCCAAATATGTGGATCTCTAGGTTTTAAACAGGACGTGATGTCTTGGGGCAGGAGCACAAGTGCGTGGATGGGCAAAAGATAATTTTTTTAAATGAGGTAAAAAAATAATAATTTTGCAATAGTGACAAGAATTATATGTCAATAATTATTTGTTTTTCCTTCAAAATCATAACAAGCTAGCCTAGACTCATACAGCAATGAGCTAAGCAGGGTATAGGGAAGACAATTTAGCTAATATTAGGGTGTCCCTGGGCACTGCTGGTGCTCATCCTTTGTGCATGCCTATAGTCAGGGTTGAGAACAAGGGGGTACGTGGCTCCCCACCATCTTTAATCTTTGACTTCCCCCACTGCTATAACAGCCTTGTTTAGTTGATATTGTGCTGCAAAGCTGCCCCTGTCACTTTTATTGACTTTTTAATACAAATTGTCATTTGTATTATTTCCTAACTCCTGAGCTAGCAGGAACTGTGCTGTTATCATACACATTCACACAGTATTAATTCCTGCTTGGCTTAGAGAGATACTTTGTCAGACTCAGCTGATGTGAGCATGCAGTGTACTTAGAATTGAAAAGAATGCTTCCCCCAAATTCTGCCATAGGACAGAGGGTGGAGTTTGGGTGATTAATTAAGTCCTACCTTCCTTCTTCTCTTTTTTGTGGTCATCAGGAGTACCGACAACAACAAACTCCTAGAAACTGCTATGCCCATAATGACAGCCTTTGAGTCAGTAATTTATTAAATAAAACGGCTTTTATATACATTGCAATAAGCATTAGTGTTTATGGTACTTCTTTCGTTGTTCGTTTGAGCTAATATGATAGAGAACGTATAGAGAAGTTTACATGAGAAGAGTTTAACACTTGCTTTCTTATTTGTTTTGTTATGTGAACTCTTCATTTTATAGAAGGCAGAGGAGCCTCCTTTAGTTTATCATCTAACAGGGCTATTCGCGAAATTGGGAATTCTCAGAAATTAAAATGAATTTCACACTGTAGGACAAAACAGCCAAGTAAAAAACAAAGCTAGTTAAGAGAATTTTTTTTGTGAATTTGTTTATTTTGAGCAGCAAAATTGCAACTATCAAAATAGGACAATTAACTGTTTAAAATAAGATTTTAGTTGCACTTAGATCACCCCCCACCCCAAAAAAAAACATGATTTAGATTGATGCCTTCAGACTTCTTTAGCAACATTATGATTCCCAGGTCTTTCCCTGAGCACGGTAGAGATCGGCTTTGTGTTCAAGGGGAATCCCATTAAAAAACAACTTAAAAAGCAGCTAGGGATCTTTTCAGATAATAATTTATTGTTATTTTTTAAAATAAATAAATAAATAGAATTCACTATTTACAAAATGTATAATAACAAGCGAACGGTAGCTGAGTGCCATTTAGTGGTCCCCATTTGGCATTTTTACCAAAACTAAATGATTATACTATTCATAAAAGGTGAATTCTATGAATTTTCTCATTTATTTGCCTGCTGCTCAGCTGTCTTTAAATCAGCTGAGTATCTATAAAACTGATCCAGCTATTCACAAATTGTTAATATAAATATATATATATATATATATATATATATATATATATATATATCTTACAATGTGCCTGATATTTAGAAATTTAAAGAAAAAAAAAAAAACAACACATTAGGGATGTTTGGCTATCCCACCCTAATATTAGTAATAGCACAAATTGCAATCGTAAACCAACAAGCCCTGTTTAACTGTATTGTGTCATTTTTCTTCCAGGTTTGGTTACCTTAGTAACAAGGCAGGTTTTATTGACACTGCTGCATAACTCGCTTAAGGGAAAGAAGTAAGGTAACTGGCCAATCAGAATTCAGCACTGCAAGACATTAACCAACAACAGTGTCTGCCCTTTGTTCTTTTGGGACTGTTTTGTATTTATCTGTGTTATGTATTTTCTACATAGGTCTGTGTGAAGTACGAAAGTGTGAATCAGACGTTGCAACCTTTGGAAACTGAACTTATTGTAGACAAAGTTTCCAAAAGGGCTGGCTATGGATCATGAGAGATGTAGTCCTCCTCAATAGTTTCTGTACTGACAATGAAGGAAACCATTCACAGCAAACAACTGGCTGGCTGAGAATCATTTAAAACAAAGTCTACAATTGTTGTTGACGCAAAAGTTTACCATTTCTGATCCAAAATCTAATTGGTAACACCTTCCGTTGGTACAGATTTGATGATTCATGTAAAACTGTACATTGTGTTCAGGACTGGATTTATATGTCAGGTGCCTGAAGGTGCAGAATTCTAAGGTGCCCCCTCCCTCCCACCTCCCCCCTCCAAAAAAAAGACAGAGTGAATGTAATAATTTTATTAAATGGACATTGTAGGCATAAAAAAAAAAAAACTTTAAAAAAACATTGAAATTAGACAACTGCATATACAGTATCTCACAAAAGTAAGTGCACCCCTCACATTTTTGTAAATATTTTATTATATCTTTTCATGTAACAACACCGAAGAAATGACACTCTGCTACAATGTAAACTAGTAAGTGTACAGCCTGTATAACAGTGTAAATTTGCTGTCCCCTCAAAATAACTGAAAACACACCCATTAATGTCTAAACCGTTGGCAACAAAAGTGAGTACACCCCTAAGTAGAAATGTCCAGATTGGGCCCAAAGTGTCAATATTTTGTGTGGCCACCAATATTTTCCAGCTCTGCCTTAACCCTCATAGGCATGGAGTTCACAAGAGCTTCACAGGTTGCCACTGGATGCCTCTTCCACTCCTTCATGACAACATCACGGAGCAGGTGGATGTTAGAGACCTTGCTCTCCCCCACCTTCCATTTGAGGATGCCCCGCAGATGCTCAATAGGGTTTAGATCTGGAGACATGCTTGGCCAGTCCATCACCTTTACCTCCAGCTTCCTTAGCAAGGCAGTGGTCGTCTTGGAAGTGTGTTTGGGGTCGTTATCATGTTGGAATACTGCCCTGCGGCCCAGTCTTCGAAAGGAGAGGACCATGCTCTGCTTCAGTTTGTGAAAGTACATGTTGTCATTCATGGTTCCCTCAATGAACTGTAGCTCCCCAGCGCTGGCAGCACTCATGCAGGCCCAGACCATGACACTGCCACCACCATGCTTGACTGTGTTTGTACTCCTCACCTAGGTGCCGCCACACACGATTGACACCATCTGAAACAAATAAGTTTATCTTGGTCTCATTGGACCACAGGACATGGTTCCAGTAATCCATGTCCTTAGTCTGCTTGTCTTTAGCAAACTGTCGGTGGGCTTTCTTGTGCATCATCTTTAGAAGAGGCTTCCTTCTGGGACGACAGCCATGCAGACCAATCTGGCGAGCTGCGAGTTTGAGACATGCTTAAAGCAGAGTAGGCTTTCTACACATTGCTGGTGCCTACTCTGCTAAAAATGTACCCGGCCAGGACTCTGAGAGGTCGCTGGAGGAGCTCAGTCTTCCTGCTCCTCACTGCTCCCTCTCGAGCGCCATCTGTAGTGATGCCGGGTGCCGGAATATGATATCATATTCCGGCACCCGGCATCACTAAACTGCGCACGAGGGA